AAAAAAAAAAAAAAAAAAAAAAAAGAAAGAAGAAGAAAAGGGAAAAAAGTAAGCTTATTACTACAGGTAACAGTCTGGGATATAGAAGGATAGAACTACATTTAGTTAACAGCGACAAAAGATAACTACCTTTTTTTTTGTTATCTGTATATAAAAAATTTCTTAAAAATCCTCTTTTTTTTCCATGTTAGACTTTAAGTTTGTCTTGATTTACACTAATAACTGTCATTTGTAGTTGCCATTTATTTCATCCTTCTCTTACGCTGCGCAAGCACACACACAAAAAATTAGTTTCCAGTTATGAATGATAGGGTAGCTTAGTGAATAGGATCAATAAAACTTGATTAACAAACTATCTAGAAGATAAAATAAAAATTCTAACTGTAAATCTGTAAAGTTATAATAACCAAATTTTATTTCAGCTGTGTGTGGCAGGAATTTTACTTTTTGGAATGGACATTGTTATGCTTCCGTGAGTTCTGCTTTTGAAATAGTTGGTGCAACATTTAATTAATATACTCTGAATATCGCTAATTAAATTGTTAACATTTAATCGGGTTAAGTAATAAATTCATGTTTAAAAAGCGAATAAGTTATAGACCGATTTGAATTGAGAATTCCTATTGATTGTTGCAGAACTGAGCTTTTTAAAAGTTTGTTCTAGACCAGAAAACTAAGCGGAAAATTAAAGAAAAAATATGATCATTATATGTGAAACTTCTAAACATTGTTAACTAGCAATACTAGTTTTTGACCTAACAAAATCTAGCCAAAATTCTCATCATGGTTGTCGATAAAAAACTATTATTCTCCGCCACTATTCTGTGTTCAGTTTTTGCAACAATAAACATTTTAGAAATGTGATTTATATTATTCTATCAAAAGAACTTTAAAACTATGGCCAAACATAGTCAAAAAAAAAGTTCAAAATTTTTTCGCACTTGAGCTTTCTGGTCTTCCTAGACCGCTATCAATACAATAAGAAACTACGAATTTTTTCCTCATTTCACTAGGGTAAGAACTGGATTTTTTGTGCAAAAAAGAGACTGACTTAGAAAGTTTAAAAACGAAGCGGAGAAGAAAAAGAGCAACGAAATAAATTTGCAGCAAAAATTACTTTCAGTTTGCTGAGGAAGTCACCTATAATGAAGCACTTTTACGTTGCCTTAAACTTAGCTCGAATCTTGTCACTATTCGTTCACAACAAGAAAACGACTACGTCACAGGTGAGTTAATTTATAAAGTAAAAGATTTTGTAGTTGTAGCCTGATAAAGCTTTGATTCGTGTCGTGACAGATTACACATAA